CAGTAGGTTTTGTGGTTCTTAAAGTCGAGGAGTAGGAACTGCGTTATTATAGTGTTACGTGGATCTTGTTTATGGGGTGTTGTGTAAGTGTAAAAATGTGTATAAGTGTGTATGAATGTGTATAAGTGTGTATGAATGTGTATAAGTGTGTATGAATGTGTATAAGTGTATATGAATGTGTATAAGTGTGTATGAATGTATATAAGTGTGTATGAATGTGTATAAGTGTATATGAATGTGTATAAGTGTGCATGAATGTGTATAAGTGTGTATGAATGTGTATAAGTGTGTATGAATGTGTATAAGTGTGCATGAATGTGTATAAGTGTATATGAATGTGTATAAGTGTGTTTTGAATGTGTATAAGTGTATATGAATGTGTATGTGTGCATGAATGTGTATAAGTGTGTATGAATGTGTATAAGTGTATATGAATGTGTATGTGTGCATGAATGTGTATAAGTGTGTATGAATGTGTATAAGTGTGCATGAATGTGTATAAGTGTGTATGAATGTGTATAAGTGTGTATGAGTGTGTATAAGTGTATATGAATGTGTATAAGTGTGCATGAATGTACGAATGTGTATCAGTGTGTATAAGTGTGTATAAATGTGCATAAGTGAGTGACCTTCAAGTATTGGCCTCTTATTATATTATTATATTATTTACTCACAGTTATAATCTAGAACAATGTTGTATTTTTATTATGCTTTCTATCCTTCATATTTATTTGACATTACTTGTTTATTCATAAACACAAAGGTAGTTTCCCACCCATGCAGGGTGACCCAAAAGAGAAGAAACACTTTCGTAATTCAGTGACCATCTTGCCAGACGCGTGTCGACACTACAGTTCAAGAACTGCAACATATCTCCACTCCTCCATCAGAGCTCAGGACTCAAGTCCGGCTAACCAGTTTCCCTGACTTCCTTCGTAAATGTTATTTTGCTTACACTCCAACAGCAAGTCATAAAAACCATTTGCCTTTACTCGCTTCTACCTAACATCCTCTCACACGCTGGCTGGAAGTTCAAGCCCCTCGCACACAAAACCTACTTTACCTCCTTCCACTAACCTTTCCACCTACCCTGTCTTCCTTCCAATACAGATTTATACACCCTCCAAATCATCCAATTTTGTTCCATCCTCTCTAAATGCCCGACCCACTTCAGCAATCCCTCTTAAGCCCTCTGGATTATCATTTTAAAAAATCCTACACCTCCTTCTAACCTCCTTCCTACATAATGTCTGCATAATCCTACATAATGCCCGAAATGCCTAGCCATGCTAGGTGTCCTAGTGGCCCCCTCTGTAATTAGTATTTTATAACATGTAAACCACACAATATCCAAATCCTGTAAACCCCACATTGTAGCCCTTATAGAGAATAAACTTGATTTGATTAATAATTACACCACACATTGCCCTCCAGTCTGATTTCCAATGATTCATTACCTAACTTTCTGTAATTCTCATTACTTCACTCTTTCCTATGATCACTTTGAATTTCCTTCTCTTGCACACCCTCCTAAATACGTCCACCAACATCTGTAACTTCTTTTCAGTATCTTCCTAATGCAAAATGTCATCAGCAGAAACCAACTGTGACAACTCCCACTTTGTGTTAGATTTCTTATCTTTCAATCCAACCCATAAGCATTCACTTCTCACACAACCCCACCTATAAATATATTGAACATCCATGGTGACATCAAGGATCCCTGTATAAGGCCAACTTTTACTGGAAAATAATCTCTCTCCCACATAGTCTAAACTGAGCCTCACTATCCTCATAAAAACTCTTAACTGATTTCAGTAACCAACCACTTACTCCATACACTTACAATATTATTTCCCTATCCACCCTATCATATGCCTTTTCCAAATCCATAAATACATCGAAAACCACTTTACCCTTATCTAATACTGCTCACGTATATGCTTCACTGTAAACACTTGGTCTACATATTCTCTACCCTTCCTAAAGCCTCCTGATTTATTTGTGATCTTGCTCTCTGTCTTTTAATTCTTTCAGTAAAATTCTACAGTACCTGGTATACTTTATAAGTTTATTCCTCTGTAGTTATTACACTCTCTTTTGTCCCCTTTGCCTTTATACAAAGGAACTATGTATGGTCTCTGCCAATCCACAGGTACCTTCCCCTCGCTCATACATTTATTAAATGAAAGACCCAACCATTCCAAAACTATATCTCCACTTGCTTATAACAATTTCTCTCTTGACACCATTAATCCCTGCTGGTTTATCCTCGTTCATTCTACCCATCAATTCAAGTGCCACCTCCACACTCATCTTCACTCCTAAACGGTGTTATACCTCCCTGGCCAATGCACGAGATCAAAGCTTCACTATCTTCATCAACATTTAGTACCTTCTTCCCAATACCTCCAACTTTCCATCGAATAACTCTCCACTTCTATTTTTAACTGTCAAATCCGCTCGTTCTCCAGAACATTTTCTTATTCTCAGTAAAATATGTTGATAGCACCTCACCCACTCTCATTTGCTCTCCTCTTACATTCCTTCACCACTCTCTTAATTTCTCTTTTTCTCACCATATACTCCCTCCTTATATCACTTCTGTTTTGTAGAAAAGAATCATATGTTAACTTTTTCTCTCTCTTACTACTCTCTTTACCTTATCATTCCACCAATCACTGCTCTTCCCTCCCGCATTCACAAGCCTATATCCACAAACTTCTTCTGATTTCTCTAACACTGAATTCTAAAAACTATCCTGTATTTCTCCATCATCATTGCCTATGCTTCCACTAGGCCATCATTCTACCAATAGTTTCTTCTATCTTACATAAGAACATAAGAAAGAGGGAACACTGCACAGGCTTACTGGCCCATGAGAGGCAGGTCCAAGTCTCCTACCAGCTTAAGCCTATGACCCTACCTAGTCAGGTCAGATGATATCCACTTAAGGAAGGAGCACGGCATCTGACCCACTAGCACAAGCTAGTCAGATCCAACTCACACTCAGTCACACACACATGTATTTTTCTAACCTATTTTTTAAAACTACACAACGTTTTAGCGTCTATGACAGTACTTGGGAGTTTGTTGCACTCATCCACAACTCTATTACCAAACCAGTGCTCTCCTATATCCTTTCTGAATCTGAATTTCTCCAACTTAAAACCACTGCTGCGAGTCCTGTCTTGGCTGTATATTTTTAGCACACTATTTACATCAACCTTATTTATTCATGTTTTCCATTTATACACCTCAATCATATCCCCCCTAATTCTACGCCTTTCGAGAAAGTGCAGATTCAGGGCCCTCAGTCTATCCTCATAGGGAAGATTTCTGATGAATAGGATCAACTTTGTCATCCTCCTTTGTACGTTTTCCAGAGCATTTATATCCATTCTGTAATACGGTGACCAAAATTGAGCAGCATAATCTAAACGAGGCCCAACCAAAGATATATAGAGCTGAAGAACATCCTGAGGACTCCTATTATTTACGCTCCTTGATAAGAAGCCAAGAATACAGGAGAAGTGGTTATTAGCCAATTGCTCCCAGCATTTTAGTGGCGTCTTACAACATACATGGCTTACGAAGGAAAGATTCTTTTCCACTTCCCCCAGAGAGCTGAAAGGAAATAGATAAGAACAAGACCTATTAAGAAAACAGAAGAAAGTTCAGATGAGTGTATATACTTATACGTGTGGTATAAACCTTGGTAATAAATACCGACAAGTTGGTTTAGAAAGACACGTAAGCAAACACTTTGACATATTTATTCGAAAATAAAGGTCCTGGGACCTTGATCATTTCTTGATCCAGATCCCAGAACCGAAACGTTTTGTAATAAATATGTCAAAGTGTTTGCTTACGTGTCTTTCTAAACCATACCTATACGTGCACATGTATATGTAGTATGACCTAGGTGTGAGCAGAAATAGCAAGATGTACCTGTTTTCTGAAGTGTTTAGGAGACAGAAAGAAAGGACACCAGGAGTCCTACCAGTGTGTAAAACAACTACAGGTTTCCGTTCCACAGGCATCTGGCAGGACGGTAGTACCTTCCTGAGTCGCTGCTCTCGTTAATACTACTAAATTTTATAACTGTTGCCGCCGTTTAAAAGATGTGAGAGCGTTATTTCCAATAAATATTTTAAGTGCCTTCATAACGCTCTAAATCCAGTGAATATTTTGAGTTCTTCCTTTACGTCATGTCTAGTACATATGAGTGTTAGCTTCATTCCATATCGATGCAGATGACTTTTTCACCGTTAATATTACGTTGTTTTCCGTTGCTCAATGCTAGGCTTTTCTTTTTATTGAATTGCAGATCTTTCAGTGTTTTAATGGATTCATTTTCTTTACTATCGCTCTTTGTATTTTTTTTAATAAATTAATATTCACCTTCGTACTTACCCATTATACTCTGTGACATCAGTTTATGAAACATCACTCAACATCCACAGTGTCTCTGTAACTACAGCATTGTGACATTCTTCCATTGTATCTGATTCTGTTTCAACTCGTAAGACTAGTTTGATGTTTTAGGAGTTGTGATAGGAAGGATCTTTCTGTTGCAGAGCAACATGGATGTTGACTGACACCAATGGTTTTCCATAAAATAAGCAAATTGACTTTATTTTCTCAGTCACTTTGATGTATGATATCAGTGGGATTAACTTCAAGGATATTTGCTGCTTCCAGTGAGAATGCTTCCAGCAGTGTTTCCAGCAGTGTTTCCAGCAATGTTTCCATCAATGCTTAGATCAATGCTTCCAGGAATGTTTCCAGCAATGTTTCCAGCAATGTTTACAGTAATGCTTCCAGCAGTGTTTCCAGCAGTGTTTCCAGCAATGTTTCCAGCAATGTTTCCAGCAATGCCTCTAGCAATGCTTCCAGCAATGTTTCCAGCAATGTTTCCAGCAATGTTTAGAGCAATGTTTCCAGCAACGCTTCCAGCAATGTTTCCAGCAATGTTTCCACAAAGTTTCTAGCAATGCTTCCAGCAATGCTTCCAGCAGTTTTCCAGCAATGTTTCCAGCAATGCTTCCAGCAATGCTTCCAGCAATGTTTCCAGCAATGCTTCCTGCAATGTTTCCAGCAATGTTTCCAGCAAAGTTTGTAGCAATGCTTCCAGCAATGCTTCCAGTAATGCTTCCAGCAATGTTTCCAGCAATGTTTCCAGCAATGTTTCTAGCAATGTTTCCAGCAATGCTTACAGCAATGCTTCCAGCAATGTTTCCAGCAGAACTGAAATTTTCTGTTACACTTGTTAACACATTTTTTCATTCTGTGTTAATTCCATACATCATCAGGGATCACAACGGCGTCAGTATCACATTTAAGAGGAAAATGATAGGATGGATAATGAGAACTTTGAAAACAAGGAATGCAGACCAGTGATGAACCTTTTTAAGTTACTTGTTCCCTCTAGGCTGGAATACTGTTGTACATTAACGGTGTCATTCAAGGCAGGTGAAGTCTCGGAGCTAGAGAATGCACAGAGAATCTTCACTGCACGTACAAGTTCAGTCAAGCTCCTTAATTACTGGTAACGTTTGGAGTCTTTTGACCTATACTCCTTAGAATGCAGGCGAGAGATATACATCATAATCTACACCTGTAAATTCCTAGAGGAACTGGCCCAAATCCGCACGCAGAAATCACGCCCTACGAAAGCAAAAGACTAGTGAGACGGTGCAAAATTCCACCGATAATAAGTAGGTTAGGTTAGGTAAGATTTGCCCGGAAACACAACCAGTGTTTCCGGACGCTGGTCTTAGTCATATGAAGACCCGCAGCTGGAGATTTTGGTTATCTGACCAGGTATACTCCAGGAACCCTTCTGCTATCTTACCAGTCTACCCTTTTAAAAAGTATAATTAGGACTCATTGTTCCTAGGTTCCTTTAAAATGGAAAGCAGGGACGCCATGCGTACTCAAAGAGAAAACACAATAAATATCCGGAGCCCAAGGCAGTTTAACAGTCTCCCACCAATGTATAAGAGGAATTACTAATAGAAACCAGACTGCCGTCACGGGGGAATGGGGAGATAGCTAAAGTCGTACAAACGTACGACTGTGGTTTGTACGACTGTGGTTTGTACGTTGGATTGCTTGCGGCCAGCAGTAGCAGCCTGGTAAGGGGAACATACCTGGTTGGGGGACGGGAACATACCTGGCAGGTGAGGGGAGACATACCTGGCAGGTGAGGGGAGACATACCTGGCAGGTGAGGAAGTTAGGTGGGTGATTATTGAGGAATGTCTTGAGGTCACCTTCTTGCATGAGTTCCATCACGACATAGACAGGTGCGTAGTCTCCCACCACACCCAGCAGACGAACCACATGATGGCACGAGATGTCCCTGCCAGACATATAACGTAGGCCTATTGATCACCCAACAGGATCCATACTCCCCCCTCCTACATGTGAAGAGACATGTGACATCCCTGCTAGAAATATCAAAGTAGGCAACCTTTCCCACCTATCGTAACAGACTTCATGATGACTCGAAATGTTTGTATCCAAGTTAACTTCCACCACTCAGCTTTTTCTAGCTTCCTTCAATAACGCTCTTCAAAATAACATTAACCTGTTAATTTCAGGAGTAACCTAATCTTGTTTTGCTTGTTAGTGGATGTACATCTGACTGCAGGAGTTATATATCCAACCTGTATTGATGTCTGCATCTGACTGCTGGTTGTGTACTTACTGCATAAGTGCAGCTTCCTTGAGAAACTGATGGATGTCCTCCGTGGTGGCTCTGTCCCTGTGAGTCTTGACAGCCACCTTATTCTGCTGGCCGTTTAGAGTGAGCTCTCCCTGCAGCACCTTCCCGAAGAACCCATTACCAAGAGCAGGTTCCTGAAGAACCTTCAGGTCGTCCCTCCAGAGGATAAATTCCTCTCGGAAGATCTCGGCCGGAGCGAAACCCTCTAACAGTGTGACACAAAACTTATGTTAGAAAATAAAAACCAAGTAGCCCTTAGCGTATTCTTATTAACCCATGACAGGTTGGTTCAACTCACAACCAGAGTATAAAAATCAGTGACATTATTCGGCAGTTTGGTTCACTCTTTTACAATTTACCAAATTACAGCTTCCTCATTAGTTCTAAATGTAAATATATAAATGTAAATTCTCTTTTCTGAGGGTTGTCTTGGTCAGATGATGATATTTGACGATAATGATCAAGATGCAGATTATTATGATGATGACGATGTGATTATAATTAATATTTTCATTATTATTATTTTTAATACAATTATCATTATTATTATTATTATTATTATTATTATTATTATTATTATTATTATTATTATTAATGGTACTACTACTAAAATAATAATAGTAATAATAGCAAGATCATCAGAGGTCATTTTTAGATCTATAAGGAACTTTTAATGCTGATTCCAAACAGTTTAATGTTTTAATCTTGAATATAAACTACCCCAGATGACAACTGTCATAATTTTAATGGACATTTTATTGCCAGAGTCAACAACCTTTAATTAGGGATTATTTCAATTTCCTGTTCGCCTTTTAATGATCATTAGGAGTTAATAACCTATCAGAAATATGTGGAAATCTACATCAATTAAACACATTTTATAAAAATTCATTTAGTTATTTTTCGAAGTCTTCAATAGAAATACAAATTTTGGAATCTGGAACTCAACATTAGATCCTTGATAAGGATGAATCTCCGGTATATCTGTGAATATTCCAGGTGCAGTTTGAGGATAAGCAGAAGTCTGCAGAAACCAAGAAAAAACCAAACCATACCACGGGTAGGGTTTGAACCCACGGTCAGAGTGTCTCAAAACTCCAGTTGAATACCTTGAGTTTTGAGACTCTCTGACCACGGGTTCAAACCCCACCCGTGGTATGGTTTATTTGCAATTGTGTCATTACGATTTCGTGAGTCAGAAATCACGAACTATGTTGCCGCCACAGACAGGAGATTCTCGCTTCTTTGTACATGAGTGGGAGGGGTTGAATTTGAGTGGGACTTTCACATCAGAGCTTATTTCTTGGGTAGCATTGAAAATTGGGTTGGGCAAATGTTTTGTTAGTGGGATGAATTGTAAAGGACCTGCCTAGTATGGGCCAACAGGCCTGCTGCAGTGTTCCTCCTTTCTTATGTTCTTATGTTCAATTTTCAATGCACTTCCAGTACTCAGATACAAAAATATCTCACCTATCTCACCATCAGATCGTCTGTACTAAAACAACAAGTCCAAGTTTCTATGAATTAGGAGGCAGCAAATTCCAGCTCCCGGCCCATTCACCAGTAAATGACAGCTCTTTGCAATCTATTACCAATACCTAAATGTTACCAAGTCCGAGTTATTTCTCGAGAAAATCAGTTGTACTAATATTTGGTAACAGGAAGCGATACATTAAACTCTCATTCACGTCGCCATAGTTAATCACATTTCCAATAGCAATAGTAATAATAATAATAATGTCAGTATTTATACAAGTACAAGGTATTCCACCAGTTCTTAATTCATAACAGAAGTTAAAACAAACGTTGTGGACCGATCAGCTGCGTAAATTTTCTTGTCTCTCCGGTAACCATGCCCACAACCTCCTCTTGTGGCTCAGGTAATCATGCCCACAACCTCCTCTTGTGGCTCAGGTAATCATGCCCACAACCTCCTCTTGTGGCTCAGGTAATCATGCCCAAAAACCTCCTCTTGTGGCTCAGGTAATCATTGCCCACAACCTCCTCTTGTGGCTCAGGTAATCATGCCCACAACCTCCTCTTGTGGCTCAGGTAATCATGCCCACAACCTCCTCTTGTGGCTCAGGTAATCATGCCCACAACCTCCTCTTGTGGCTCAGGTAATCATGCCCACAACCTCCTCTTGTGGCTCAGGTAATCATGCCCACAACCTCCTCTTGTGGCTCAGGTAATCATGCCCACAACCTCCTCTTGTGGCTCCGGTAATCATGCCACAACCTCCTCTTGGCTCAGGTAATCATGCCCACAACCTCCTCTTGTGGCTCAGGTAATCATGCCCACAACCTCCTCTTGTGGCTCAGGTAATCATGCCCATAACCTCCTCTTGTGGCTCAGGTAATCATGCCCACAACCTCCTCTTGTGGCTCAGGTAATCATGCCCACAACCTCCTCTTGTGGCTCAGGTAATCATGCCCACAACCCCTCTTGTGGCTCAGGTAATCATGCCCATAACCTCCTCTTGTGGCTCAGGTAATCATGCCCACCAACCTCCTCTTGTGGCTCAGGTAATCATGCCCACAACCTCCTCTTGTGGCTCAGGTAATCATGCCCACAACCTCTTGTGGCTCAGGTAATCATGCCCACAACCTCCTCTTGTGGCTCAGGTAATCATGCCCACAACCTCCTCTTTTGGCTCAGGTAACCATGCCCACAACCTCCTCTTGTGGCTCAGGTAATCATGCCCACAACCTCCTCTTGTGGCTCAGGTAATCATGCCCACAACCTCCTCTTGTGGCTCAGGTAATCATGCCCACAACCTCCTCTTGTGGCTCAGGTAATCATGCCCACAACCTCCTCTTGTGGCTCAGGTAATCATGCCCACAACCTCCTCTTGTGGCTCAGGTAATCAGGCCCACAACCTCCTCTTGTGGCTCAGGTAATCATGCCCACAACCTCCTCTTGTGGCTCAGGTAATTCATGCCCACAACCTCCTCTTGTGGCTCAGGTAATCATGCCCACAACCTCCTCTTGTGGCTCAGGTAATCATGCCCACAACCTCCTCTTGTGGCTCAGGTAATCATGCCCACAACCTCCTCTTGTGGCTCAGGTAATCATGCCCACAACCTCCTCTTGTGGCTCAGGTAATCATGCCCACAACCTCCTCTTGTGGCTCCGGTAACCATGCGAACAACCTCCTCTTGTGGCTCAGGTAATCATGCCCACAACCTCCTCTTGTGGCTCCGGTAATCATATCCCCAACCTCCACCAGTGGCTCCGGTAATCATGCCCTCAACCTCCTCCTGTGGCTCCGGTAATCATGCCCTCAACCTCCTCCTGTGGCTCTGGTAATCATGCCCTCAACCTCCTCCTGTGGCTCCGGTAATCATGTCCTCAACCTCCTCCTGTGACTCCGGTAATCATGTCCTCAATCTCCTCCAGTGACTCCGGTAATCATGTCCTCAACCTCCTCCAGTGGCTCCGGTAATCATGCTCTCAGCCTCCTCCTCTCACCTTGTGGCTCCGGTAATCATGTCCTCAACCTCCTCCTGTGGCTCCGGTAATCATGTCCTCAACCTCCTCCTGTGGCTCCGGGAATCATGCTCTCAGCCTCCTCCTGTGGCTCCGGTAATCATGTCCTCAACCTCCCCCTGTGGCTCCGGTAATCATGTCCTCAACCTCCTCCTGTGGCTCCGGTAATCATGTCCTCAACCTCCTCCTGTGGCTCCGGTAATCATGCTCTCAGCCTCCTCCTTTGGCTCCGGTAATCATGTCCTCAATCTCCCCCTGTGGCTCCGGTAATCATGTCCTCAACCTCCTCCTTTGGCTCCGGTAATCATGTCCTCAACCTCCCCCTGTGGCTCCGGTAATCATGTCCTCAACCTCCTCCCGTGGCTCCGGTAATCATGCTCTCAGCCTCCTCCTCTCACCTTGTGGCTCCGGTAATCATGTCCTCAAACTCCTCCTGTGGCTCCGGTAATCATGCCCACAACCTCCTACTGTGTCTCCTGTAATCATGTCCTCAACCTCCTTCTGTGGCTCCGGTAATCATGCCCTCAACCTTCTCCTGTGGCTCCTGTAATCATGCCCTCAACCCTCTCCTGTGGCTCCGGTAATCATGCCTACGACCTCTTCCTGTGGCTCCGGTAATCATGCCCACAACCCTCTCCTGTGGCTCCGGTAATCTTGCCTACGACCTCCTCCTGTGGCTCCGGTAATCATGCCCACAACCTTCTCCTGTGGCTCCGGTAATCATGCTCTCAGCCTCCTCCTCTCACCTTGTGGCTCCGGTAGTCATGTCCTCAACCTCCTCCTGTGGCTCCGGTAATCATGCCCAAAACCTCCAGTGGCTACGGTAATCATGTCCTCAACCTCCTCCTGTGGCTCCGGTAACCATGTCCTCAACCTCCTCCTGTGGCTCCTGTAATCATGCCCTCAACCCTCTCCTGTGGCTCCGGTAATCATGCCCACGACCTCCTCCTGTGGCTCCTGTAATCATGCCCACAACCTTCTCCTGTGGCTCCGGTAATCATGCCCTCAACCTCCTCCTGTGGCTCCGGTAATCATGCCCACAACCTCCTACTGTGTCTCCTGTAATCATGTCCTCAACCTCCTTCTGTGGCTCCGGTAATCATGCCCTCAACCTTCTCCTGTGGCTCCGGTAATCATGCCCACAACCTCCTACTGTGTCTCCGGTAATCATGTCCTCAACCTCCTCCTGTGGCTCCGGTAATCATGCCCTCAACCTTCTCCTGTGGCTCCGATAATCATGCCCACCACCTCCTCCTGTGGCTCTGGTAATCATGCCAACAACCTTCTCCTGTGGCTCCGGTAATCAGGCCCTCAGCCTCCTCCTCTCACCTTGTGGCTCCGGTAATCATTGTCTCAACCTCCCCCTGTGGCTCCGGTAATCATGCCCACAACCTTTTCTTGTGGCTCCGGTAATCATGCTCTCAACCTCCTCCTGTGTCTCCGGTAATCATGCCCTCAACCTTCTCCTGTGTCTCCGGTAATCATGCCCTCAACCTTCTCCTGTGGCTCGGGTAATCATGCCTACAACCTCCTCCTGTGGCTCCGGTAATCATGCTCTCAGCCTCCTCCTCTCACCTTGTGGCTCGGGTAATCATGTCCTCAACCTCCTCTTGTGGCTCCGGTAACCATGCCCAAAACCTCCTGTGGCTACGGTAATCATGTCCTCAACCTCCTCCTGTGGCTCCGGTAATCATGTCCTCAACCTCCTGCTGTGGCTCCGGTAACCATGTCCTCAACCTCCTCCTGTGGCTCCGGTAATCATGTCCTCAACCTCCTGCTGTGGCTCCTGTAATCATGCCCTCAACCCTCTCCTTTGGCTCCGGTAATCATGCCCACAACCTTCTCCTGTTGCTCCGGTAATCATGCTCTCAGCCTCCTCCTCTCACCTTGTGGCTCCGATAATCGTGTCCTCAACCTCCTCCTGTGGCTCCGGTAATCATGTCCTCAACCTCTTCCTGTTGCTCCGGTAACCATGTCCTCAACCTCCTCCTGTGGCTCCTGTAATCATGCCCACGACCTCCTCCTGTGGCTCCTGTAATCATGCCCACAACTTTTTCCTGTGGCTCCGGTAATCATGCCCTAAACATTCTCCTGTGGCTCCGGTAATCATGCCCACAACCTCCCACTGTGGCTCCGGTAATCATGCCCTCAACCTTCTGCTGTATCTCCGGTAATCATGCCCTCAACCTTCTCCTGTGGCTCCGGTAATCATGCCTACAACCTCCTCCTGTGGCTCCGGTAATCATGCTCTCAGCCTCCTCCTCTCACCTTGTGGCTCCGGTAATCATGCCCTCAACCTTCTCCTGTGGCTCCGGTAGTCATGACCACAACCTCCACCCGTCGCTCCGGTAATCATGCCCTCAACCTTCTCCTGTGGCTCAGGTAATCATGTCCTCAACCTTCTCCTGTGGCTCCTGTAACCATGTCCTAAACCTCCTCCTGTGGCTCCGGTAATCATGCCCTCTGCCTGATTGTGGCTCCTTGTGGGTCCGGTAATCATGCCCACAACCTCCTCCTCTCAACTTGTGGCTCCGGTAATCATGCTCACAACCTCCTCTTGTGGCTCCGGTAATCATGCCCACAACCTTTTCTTGTGGCTCCGGTAATCATGCTCTCAACCTCCTCCTCTGGCTCCGGTAATCATGCCCTCAACCTCCTCCTGTGGCTCCGGTAAACATGTACTCAACCTCCTCCAGTGGCTCAGGTAATCATGTCCTCAACCTCCTCCAGTGGCTCAGGTAATCATGTCCTCAACCTCCTCCAGTGGCTCCGGTAATCATGTCCTCAACCTCCTCCTGTGGCTCCGGTAATCATGTCCTTAACCTCCTCCTGTGGCTCCGGTAATCATGTCCTCAACCTCCTCCTGTGGCTCCGGTAATCATGTCCTTAACCTCCTCCTGTGGCTCCGGTAATCATGTCCTGAACCTCCTCCTGTGGCTCCGGTAATCATGTCCTCAACCTCCTCCCGTGGCTCCGGTAATCATGTCCGAACCTCCTCCTGTGGCTCCGGTAATCATGTCCTCAACCTCCTCCTGTGGCTCCGGTAATCCCTGTCCTCAACCTCCTCCAGTGGCTCCGGTAATCATGTCCTCAACCTCCTCCTGTGGCTCCGGTAATCATGTCCTCAACCTCCTCCAGTGGCTCCGGTAATCATGTCCTCAACCTCCTCCTGTGGCTCCGGTAATCATGTCCTCAACCTCCTCCAGTGGCTCCGGTAATCATGTCCTCAACCTCCTCCTGTGGCTCCGGTAATCATGTCCTCACCTCCTCCTGTGGCTCAGGTAATCATGTCCTCAACCTCCTCCAGTGGCTCCGGTAATCATGTCCTCAACCTCCTCCTGTGGCTCCGGTAATCATGTCCTCAACCTCCTCCTGTGGCTCCGGTAATCATGTCCTCAACCTCCTCCTGTGGCTCAGGTAATCATGTCCTCAACCTCCTCCAGTGGCTCCGGTAATCATGTCCTCAACCTCCTCCTGTGGCTCCGGTAATCATGTCCTCAACCTCCTCCAGTGGCTCCGGTAATCATGTCCTCAACCTCCTCCTGTGGCTCCGGTAATCATGTCCTCAACCTCCTCCTGTGGCTCCGGTAATCATGTCCTCAACCTCCTCCTGTGGCTCCGGTAATCATGTCCTCAACCTCCTCCTGTGGCTCCGGTAATCATGTCCTCAACCTTCTCCTGTGGCTCCGGTAATCATGTCCTCAACCTCCTCCTGTGGCTCCGGTAATCATGTCCTCAACCTTCTCCTGTGGCTCCGGTAATCATGTCATCAACCTCCACCAGTGGCTCCGGTAATCATCCCCGCAACCTCATCCAGTGGCTCCGGTAATCATGTCCTCAACCTCCCCCTGTGGCTCCGTTAATCATGCCCTCAACCTTCTCCTGTGGCTCCGGTAATCATGCCCTCAACATTCTCCTGTGGCTCCGGTAATCATGCCCACAACCTCCTCTGGCT